GATAGAGTGAGTGTGATCTGTTAAACACTTGTTGGTGTGTGTTTTGTTGGCTGAAAGAAACTTGTTTGATGTCTTTTGATCTGTGATCTTTTGGTGGAAGTGTTTTGTATGAAACTTCTTTAGATGCCTTTTAAGTTATTCTTTTGATGTCTTTTGGTGTTTTTTGTTAGAAGTGTTTCTTGCAAGTAAAAATAACTAACCTAGCATCTATATATATCTAACCTAGCAGATTCATAGAACTAACATAGCAACAAAGATAGAACTAACCTAGCAACAACAAAAAACTATCTCTGCAACTTGCTAGGACTAACCATGCAAGTTCAGACAACTAACCTAGCAACAAAAGACAACTAAACTAGCAACAAAGATATAACTAACCTAGCAGGAAGAAAGAACTAACTTAGCAACATAAGACACTAAACTACCAGAATTTAACTAAACTAGCAGATACAGATAACTATCGTAGCAGCATTATAAAACTAACCAAGCACTAACAGACAACTAACTAACATAGCACTAACAGAATACTAACATAGCAACAACAGAATACTAACATAGCATTTACTCATAACTAACCTTGCAACTACTTAAAACTAACCTTGTAACCACTTAGATCTAACATTGCAAAATCATAAAACTAACATTGTATCAAAAATCATATTCATCCATAAACAAAAAGAATAAATCTTAATTAAAAAAAGAAATGTTGAATTAACATTGCAAAATTTAGTTTATTGAAAATGCATCCTACATACAAGTAACGTTGCAGCATCACAAAACTAAACTTGCAGAGAAATGTAACTAACCTAGCAACAACATAGTACTAAGCTAGCACTACTAGACAAGTATATATTGCACCAACAAAAACCTAACCTAGCAACATCACACAATTAACCTAGCAGCAACAGACCACTAACGTAGCATTAACGGACAACTAACCTTGCCACAACATAAACTAACATTGTAAAGCATAAAATTAACATTGCATCAAAAAATCATATTCATCCATAGACAAAAAGAT